TTATTTCAATGTAAAGGGTTTTCCTTGTGATCAGCACAAGGGAGCCAGCTTCTACTGCCATCAGAGCACAGCAAGAGGAAAGACAGAGTGGAGTACATTGGAATTCCTGAAGACAAGCAGCTGTTAAGCCTGAGGGCAACCAACGGGACTGCAGAAGGACGAGACGGCAGAAGAAGTTAACTCAATAGCTTCATTGTGCGTCCAGCAAAACTGGGACAAAATTCTGATTTCAATAGGGCAGCCCATGTCGGTTTCTCCTATCTCCAAGTTTTAATATAAAAGACTTAGAAACTGGAAAAGGAACAAGAAAATTTTTTTTTTAAAAAAAGTCATATGGCCCAAAATTTAAGGCACTCCAAGCAAAGAACTCTGCTGTGCTCATCTTAGAGCACTAAGCCTTAGGACAGAGTGGAAAGGATCTCAGAACATTTTCAATCATATGGGTATCCTTAAGCACAAGGCACACACTCATATAAGGCCCTCAGCCCTTATAGACCAGAGGAGATCAAGCAAGATAAAAAAGGGTACCCTGTTCAATGATATGCTCTTCATCTTGAAGTCCTGTTTCCAGGGTGATCTCTTCCTTCATGGTAGTTTCCACCACAGGTGCTGCATCATTCAAAAGCTCCTCCTGCACTTCCGTAGTACCTCTTTCTTGTGATTCAGCATCTTGTGCTCCCCTTGCTGCACTTTCTTCCTGTCTCAGCAAAGTCAGACTTTGGGTCATCATGCTTTGTTGTTGAGTTTTAGATAATTTACTAGGAGCTGCTTCATGAACAGCTATCTCCAGTTGGTTAGCAGTCGGTCTTTGACTCTCTGCAGGGTTTACTCCCAAGTCTGTGCCCTTTAAAGGTGTCTCTTTAGATGTTTGTTTTGTGGCCTGTTTCACCAATTCTGATTGTAAGAACTTATCATCTGCTGTTTGACACACTCCCTTTTCTTTGATTAGAGGCTCAGTAATTCTGGGACTGTACCCAGGGGCCTGGTTGTTTTCTGGTGTAGGAAACTGTTGCTTACTTGTATTTACCTTCACAGTTCTATCCTCAGAAGAGATAGGATCTTGTCTTGGAAATACTATTCCCTTTTCCTTAAATGGCAACTCGGTAATCATGGGACTGTAAAGGTGCTTCTCAGGTGCACTGTCTTCCTTTTGACTTTGAGGAAACTGCTGTTCACTTGTTATATTTTCCTTCACTTTTCTCTCCTCAGACAAGATGGGATCCCGACTTGGAAATGCTACCTTGGTTTTCAGAGTGTCTTTGATGATATTATCTTCCTCATCAGAGCTAGAGTCTGATTCAGAGCTTGATGAAGAGGATGACTCTTCGTCTGGCTTCTCATTTGAGCCTCCTGTTGAAGAGAACCCAGGCTCTGTCTCAAAAGAAGGAAAATATCCTCTCTGAGGAAATGTTACCAATGTTTTATTTGCCCAGAACTTCTTCAGGCCATCATCCGTTAACTTTACAGTTTCTTCAGGTATACTGCTAATAACGTTCTCACCTGTATCTGTAAATCATGGGAAATAATTGGGAAACAGCTTTTAAAGGATATTATACTGCTGTTTTGGTGTTTAACAGCTTGGGGCACTCCTGCAATGCCATTACACCGACAAAATGGTAAAGAATAGCATCATACCTGAATTAACACTTTCAAATATACCCCTGTAATATGGAACTCTACTCTAGGGTGTTTTTTTTCTTTTTAAGTGATCTGGTATAAACACCAGTTTAGAAGCTAAGGCTTCACAAGCTTCGTAGTACTAGCTGCTGCATTTCAGACAAGCAGGAAAAGGCAAGAGTATCCTTTGCTTTCCAAGGGACCTTATGGGAATTCAGGTGGTATACTGACTTTGTTGTCTCAGACTGCCTGTGTACTTGAGCATGTCAGAAACACCCTGTTTCAGTCTCTGAAGTAGGGATGGAAACACCCTTCTCAAGTGCTCAGTTAATTGTATGTTTAGTACAGCTATATCCAAGGACCTCAATTGTATTAAATATATCATTGTGGGAAATTGATACAACCATTCAAAGCACCTCAGCCACAGTGCAGCTTACAGCAACTATCCTGTGCTCTGCTGTGCATGTTACCTTCTTGTTATCTTCTTATATACTGAGCTCTTCCACATGTAAGCTAATCTTACTTATTCAACATGCATATTATAGATAGTGTGTCTTGTTGGTTTGGTGGGGAGTTGTTTGGTTTTTTTGCTTTTTTGGTTCTCTGCAGTTCAGTTCTTGGTCTTACAATGTTGGCTTATAATGAAATTGTATATCTTTCATCAAACTGACTAAACTACACTGATCCTTTATTTGTAGGGTTGCCAAGTCCTACCTGTTGCTGCAGCAGGGGACTCCCAGCTCGCTCCTGGAGTGTGCGCGCGCTGCAACCACATCACCCGGAAGTGACGCGACCACGCTGGGGGTGGGGCCACGACCATCCGAGGGAAAACCATAGAGTTTTCCCTCGGATGACCGTGGCCCTGCCCCCAGCGTGCCCAGCGTGGTCGCGTCACTTCCGGGTGATGTGCACGTCGTGTACTTTGGGGGTGGGGTTCCCCCCGGGGCCCAATCCACCGGCGGTGGGGAACGGGCCTCTGGGGCGGGGGTTTCCCCACCCCCCGGGGGGACTTGGCAAGCCTATTTATTTGTAAGACAAATGCAAAGATTGCCTTACTGGATCTAACCCAGGTCAATTTAGCCCAAGACTGTGTTTTCAACAGCTGCTAACTGTATGCCTCTGGATGCCCACAAGTACTATTTGAAGATAACAGGCTTCCACTGTCTGTGTCCTATGTGGAGATTTAACACCACAGAATCTGCCGTCTGAGGCTGCCATTTTCTCCAGGAGAACTGATCTCTGTGGTCAGGAGATCAGATATTATTCCAGGAGAACTTCAGCACCCAACCTGGAGGCTGGCACAATACACATGGAGATTCCAAGAGCAATTGATAAACCTGTCTTCCACTAAGATAAATTCAGGTGGGTAGCCGTGTCGATCCAAAGCAGCAGAACAAAGTTTGAGTCCAGTGATACCTTTAAAACCAACACAAATGTATTCAAGTTATAAGCTTTTTGTGTATCTGAAGGAGTGTGCTTGTACATGAAAGCTTATAGCTTGAATAAAACTTTGTTGGTCTTAAAGGTGCCATTGGACTCAAACTTTGTTCTATCTTCCACTAACTTAACATCACCAAATGCATACTGTAAAAGTTAATTTTATAAGCTAATTATACAGGAATGTTTCCTGAAGTAGTACGAAGTATTACGCTCCAGAATGGGGATGAACACTAGAAGTAAACAATAGAAGAGGGGGCCTGTGACTTATGCAAAAACTGGAGGCAGCATCAGCATAGGACCACAGCCCATCATGTACACTGATCAATCGTTTACTATATTGCAAAGGTTGCTGGCGGTGCAACTCTTAGATTAAGTACTGGTTTACTTTGCCATATAATGTGCCTTCCTAGCAGGCTCTCAGTTGGATGTTCCTGTTGCACTGATGAGGCAGGGCAGCTTCTCTCTAACTCAAGCAACAGCATTCTGCTGGTGTAAAAGGGCCCTGTGACATAGTAGTTATGGACAAAATTGCAATGCAAATACTGGAAAACTGAGCAGCCTCACAAGACATCAAGATTTTTGGGAAAGTGGTTTCTGTTCTTTGATTATATAAATAATGCAAAAGATGGTATGTCTGCGTTACCTACCAAATATGTTGTGTATTGTATTAAATGTTGTTTAATGTATGGTTATTGAAAAAATGTTATAAAAAATAAAGTTATAAAAACAAAGGGGCCCTGTGAAGGTAAGACACACCTCTTCTGGCAGCAGAACACTCCTTGTGTTGGAGTAGTTTGACTACTTCACTACACCCTTAAAACTTTTTATAATTTCAATGATTTTCTGGAACATGCATTTTTATACTTAAAAGGAAAGTCTCTGCAATGGGATAGTTAACTGGGAAAGAGGGAATACAGATGCAAGACTCAAAATATAGAAGACCTTTTCAACAAACCCCAGAACTGTTACTTCATTTTCTGTTAAGCGAATTCAGAAATGCTGTCCATACCCTCAAGCAACACACAGTTCTGGAGCCTGGCACTAAACTGAAGCTAGCTAGCTTCACTGAGATTCTTCCATCTGGCTTCCTAGGCCACAGTTAATAATGTATGCCCTTCTTTTCAGTCTGAAGTGGTACAGTCTAGCTTGAGGTTTGCTCCCTCATCCATTGCTTGTGAAAACTTTCCATTGCTATGGAAAAACAGAAGAAGCAGAAATATCAACACTGTCGATCAGGCTGCTACCCTGACTGGAGTCAGCCCTCTGACTTTTGCTGCCGTTGTTCCTGCTCTGCTGACTGCCCCTTGCCACCTTCCAGTTACAACCTTGCCCCACATGCCTCCTGAACACAGATCTGCTCTCTTTAGTTCTTTGTTCAAGAGGTATCGGAATCATTCTTGAGTTGTTTCAAGCATCATCTACATCATAATTTTTCTTCCTCTACCACACCATTTGCTACATACATGTCCTCATTTTGTTCCAGACTGCGTGAGCTCTTAGTACTAGTCATGACAACTCATATCTTGAGGACACTTAGATGACATAAGCTGTGATCATATGCGGAGAATCAGAACATTTGTGTTTTAGATCTGGGGAAATTAGCATATTTCTGTACCAAGCACACAGGGCAGGAAACTGAAATAAGAGGGTACCTCAAGGATATTATAAAGGAGGCAAGTCAGCATGAAATGCAGCCAGAGTGGTGCACATGCTGAGAAGCCGAAGAGTGTTGAAGAGGATGAAACGGTCATTGAGAAGCATCAGCACTGGGCAGCAGCATTTAAAACTTCAAGATGGAAGATAATATTTAAAACCATGGCTACAGACTTGTTTAATTTTGAATAATCAGTCAAATTATTGTTGATGTTAAAAGGTTTTGTTCAGTCCTTAATTATCTTAAATGTCAATGGCAGCAATCTTCTGTGCAGCAGCAATGAATGCTCCAGTGCTCTCCACTTGACCTTTTCTCTCTCTCAGCTGCTGCTAAATTGGTTCTGTTGCAAGAACAATTCATAAAGGATAGAAAGGAGGGGGGAGAACTTAACCCAAAAATACATGAACAATTAATCACAGCAGGTGACTGGACAGGTATTATACATATGCTGCTTAAGAACACAAAGCAAAATAGCATGAATAGAAAACATGCGGCCCACCTAACAGTGCACAACAGCACTAGAGAGCAACCCAACATAACCTGTTTTCAGTGGCAGAAGCAGCATCTATGAACTCAATTTTTCATCTTTCAGTAACATCAGCAACAAATTGTTCCTTCAGCATTCCCAAAAGAATAAGCCTACAATATATTATTTTATAATACAGAATATGAGAAATGATTCATAGACTGTTGAGAACTGGGGCAGGGACAGGATCTGATGATCAGCTGGGCTGAGGCAAGGAGTGGAGAGCACATGGTGAGTTGCTGCTAGAAGGTAAGGGGGTTTTCTTTCTCCCTTTGCCTTCCTAGCTGCTGTGTGGGAGCTGAGAGAGAGTTGGGTTCTTTGTAGCCTGATAGAGAGTGGTTCTGTTTAAGTCTGTTTGTGATTTGGGGGTTGTTGGAGACTGAGTGAGTTGCTGTGGAGTGCTGTTGATTGCAAGCCCCACCCCCTATTGTGCTGGGCTCTGCTGTGCTGGGCAGGAAGGGGCCTTTTGAAACAAAAGGCTGCTCCTCGCCAGAGGCTTGAGCTCTTGCCCTGTGGCTCTTAACTTGCGGTTTGTAGCCTGTGGGTCTTGCTTGGAGGCCTTGTAAGAACCTGAGTAGAGGGCTGCTACTGAGTTCTGGAGAGAGAACTGCTGGCAAGGTAGCCATTTGATCAGTCTCAAAAGTTTTCAGGGTACATCACCACAAGAGTTTACATCAGATTTTGAGGAAAGTTCCTGAGGCTGTAGAAGACAGATTTGCTCCTAGGAAGATGGATAACAAAGGATCTATTCCAGTGATGTGCCAGGGTTGCGCCATGATCATTTTTATGCCTTGCCAGGAAATGCATTATACATGCTGCAAGTGCAAGTTTGTATGAATGCTTGAGGAGAAGGTGGGAGAACTCGAGGTACAAATCTGTACACTGAGGAACATCAGGGAGGGAGATAGGTTTTTAGACGTGAAGGAAGAGGGGCTCCTGAGAGAACAGCAAGAGCTAGCAAATCCTAAGCAAGAGGAAGGGAGTGACAAGGAACAGGTGGGTGAGTGAAAGAATGTGACCTTGAGGAGTAAGATAATCAGGAAATACTCACAGCCAGTGAAGCTGCAAAATCGCTACCAGCTGCTTCTGATGGTGGAAGGTCAGAATAGCACACTCCAAGATCAAAAGGATGTGACTGACACACAAACACACAGGCAGAGAAGGAACCAAGCTATCCCACAGAGGAAGAGATGAGTAGTGGTGGTTGGTGACTCCCTACTGAGAGGGACAGAAGAAGTTGTGTGCAGACCGGACAAGTAATCTCAAAAG